TCCATCACGACCGTTAGGGGGGAACTTCAGCCCCTCCCCCCCGTTATTAAACTTGGTGGGAAATCTATAAATTCTGTGACAAACGCTAAGGTACCAAACGTAGTTTTGGACTCGGGACTATCGTTTTTGCAACATGTATCCGCTATGTCTGAAAAAGTGACCAAGGGATTCAGAAAGATGACTCGTGTACCGAAATCATCGTAGGGTGTACGATACCCGGGTTTAAAATTAATCTACAAGGGACTGCTTGTGTCCACGCTTACGTAGTCGGCAGAGTGCAGGTACGAGCGTGCGAACATGTACACAGTTTGTAGCGTACTACTGAGATCGCAGCGATTCGTACTTGTATTATTAACCAAGATATACCGACCCACTTACACGTTAGCCTTACCGGTGCTGGCTGGAGTTCTCCCAGCTGACCTGGAGGTCCTCCGTGCTGGTAGTATGGGTAAAGCACTCTGACCTGACCACGCCCAAAGAGTAGTTGCGCAGACGGAAGCGCGAAATCCAAACTGAGGTGTTCAGAGCTTGGCAGGATCAATGGACGAGTGAAATAAAAGAATGCGAGTTACATCAATTTTTTCCGAACCAAACATCCCAGATTTTCACAGGACATGGATGTTTTCAAATTCATATTCAAATTGTTTATTGCATGTTACATTACAAAATTTAAGATGGTACAATTTCTATAGGTATACATGTGACGCCCTGCAAGGGCATATCAACACTAGAGGGCTACTAACTATTTTCGCACTATTTAATTTTTAAACATCAACATTCAATATTACTTTATATAAATTAATTTGAAATACTATGTACCTAGCCAAAGTATTCTTAATTTTAATAACATATAATAATACAATTACAATTAAATTATAATAACATTTATTAATAAGAAATTAAATTGCATAGGATTTTCCAGGATTTTTATGGAATTCGGTAAATGGTTATAAATCTTTATTGACATAACGTGAGGGTTGTTTGAAACTAATTTTAATTAGGAGAAGGGTAACTTAAGATTATATAAATTTTTATTATTTCTTTTAGTTTTTTTTTTAATTGGTGAGTAGAGTTTTGGGTGTTTCCTAACGAATTTCAATCTCGAGGATGTAGAAAGACGTAAGTGTTAAAATTTTATTTTTAATTGAGTGGGGATTACATGATTCAATTTTGTTTAAATTTATTAATATTCGTAGACACTTCTTTTGTAATATAAATAATTTGTTTACATCACAAGAGTTTCCCCACAAGATGATCCCATAGGAGAGTATGGAGTGAGCATGAGCATAGTAAGCCGCAAGGGCAGTCATAAAATCTGCCACACGTTTAAGGTGTTGCAGAGCATAAATAAAGGATATTTTTTTTGCAACTTTTTGTACGTGCTGTTTCCAACTCAAATGTGTATCCCGGTCTATTCACAACAAAGTGCCAGAGTTAACAGTTTCTAGTTTTGTGTTTTTATAGTTAAATGATATTTGTAAATCAGTTTTTTTTGGTAGGGTTTAAATTAAAAATATTAGTTTTATTAAGGTTAAATTGTAAATTATGTAATTGTAGCCAGCCAGTTTTCGAAAGAGACTGTGCGACATGCGACTGTGGAAAACTAGTTTGTGTGAGTGTGGTTCAACAGAGGAGGATGTTGACCACATTCTATGGAAATGTCCTTTGTATGACGAGCTAAGAGCGAAAGTGATGGAACTGGACTGAATTACTGTAAGTTTGAGGAATAAAATGTTTTGAGAACATGCGAATTCACCAAACATGCGCGATGTACTTGTTTTTTTTTAATGGAATCAAGGTGCACATACACAAGCAAGCCGTGTTATCTCAGATGGTTGAAGCTCGCTGCAAAAATAACAGAACACGAGTAACCCGGGTTTGATCCCCGCCGGCACCGGTGAAATTTGCAATTTTAAGTGCAGATTTACCACGTGCTCAGCGGTGAAGGAAAGCATCGTGAGGAAACCCGCATGTCTGAGGATTAAGAAAAAATATTACGAAGACATGTGAAGTTTGCCAACACGCATTGGGGCAGTGCGGCGGACACTTCCTTGCCTTGAAACCCTCTCAGAAATGAGGGAAGGGCTGTGCCCAGCGGTGATATGTATATAGGCTGTAACTTTGCTTTTTTTCACTTTAAGCACAAGCAAGATTCACAAGCAGACACACAGTCTACATGATGATAAGTGGATGCTGTGGCTCATAGACATCCACAACTATCCTCGATTAAGGATCAAACTGCAGATGCGTTGTCGCCCGTAAGGAGATGGAATGCCTTATTTCTAGTAATATTATCAATAATAGAGTCTCCGGTTCTTTGCACTCAACATACGAAAAAAGGAAGTATAAAGCTGCTATTTTACGCTGGCACTATATTCACTGCTGGCCGTATGATGACGCTCAAAGTTGCTCAGCGAGCTATGGAGAGGGCTATGCTCGGAGTTTCTCTGCGTGATAGACTCAAAAATGAGGATATCCGCAGTAGAACCAGAGTGACCGACATAGCCCAACGGATTAGTAAGCTGAAGTGGCAATGGGCCGGCCATATAGCTCGAAGAACCGATAACCGATGGGGAAGAAAGGTTCTCGAGTGGCAACCTCGTACCAGTAGGCGTAGTGTAGGGCGACCCACCACTAGATGGAGTGACGACCTGGTAAGATATGCAGGAAGTCGATGGATGCAGTTGTTCAGCAGTGGACTTGTAATGGGCTGTAATGATGAAGATGATGATGATTTTACGCTGGTATTCTGTTAGAGCGAATTTCTTCCCCGGCGAGCCGACCCATGCGTACTACAACTATATTATATTTCTATTATTTCTTCACTATAATATATTCATGACGGCCAGGCTCAACAGACTAGCAATCGGCGCAGGACAAGATTATAGTGCCCGAGTGTATGCGCAAGCACAGGTGCACTCGCTATTCCCTCTCTCAAATTTCGATGGGTCGGTAAACCGACACGACCGAAGAGAGATCAGGCGCAGGAACAACGGTTTTACTTTATTTTCCTGACTATTCGATAAACAGGGATGCTACAGAGAATTTCAAGACAGAAAAATTCAATAACTGTTTTTTTGGTCCGACTCGGGATTCAAACCCAGCAACTAATGATTAGCACTCAAGTTTACGATCACTGGACTACCAAGGCTGTCAAAACATTCGATGATTGGCACTGTAAATACAACCGAAAATATATTATCATTTAAGAATATTAACACGCAAAATTCTCGCTCGAACATCTGTTACGACACTCCTTCTTCGTAAATTGCGTTTAAATTATATTACACTTTGTCAGCCATTTGCTCACTTGCACTCTGTGATATTATATGTCATACGTTTTAAAGATAACTCGATCATTTAATATCATTCGATTGTCACCTTTGAGATGCAGCAGTTTTTTTTAGTCTAAAAGTGTATAAAGCTCATAGAATCCTATAATAGACACACAGATATAGGTTGTACCGTGCAGTGGCGGTGCAAGAATACCCACTGCCCCATATCATCCCGTGGATATCGTAAGAGGTGACAGAGGGAAAATAACCAGGGATAGGCAGCAGTATGCAGCTTGGAATCACACTAGACGCAAAGCTTCAATGGCTCCCCATATATCAAAACTAGCTAGCAGACTTAGTTCTGCAGCATATGCTGTAAAAAAAACTTAGAACTCTTACCAGTGTTAAAACAGCTAGAATAGTTTACTTTAGTTATTTCCATAGCATTATGTCGTATGGTATTTTGCCACGGGGACACGCGACTGACACTGAAATTATATTTATTTTACAGAAGAGAGCCATTAGAGCAATATATAATTTAAAACCAAGAGTCACTGAGACAAAAATTTAAGGAAATTAATATATTAACTCTGGCCTCTCAATACATTTATGAAAATATAATGTACGTACACAAGAATAAACGTAGTTTTGCAAAAATTAGTGATATTCGTTCTGTAAATACTAGGAACAGACACAAGCTAGTGGTACCAGTTACTCGACTCCACCGAGTCAGTAATTCATTCTTGGGGCGATGTATACGCTTTTACAACAAAATCCCAGAAAATATACAAAATTTGTCATACGCAAAGTTCAAAAATTTTATTAAACTTGTATAAAAAGGATTATTATAATATTACGGAATTTATGGATGATAGTAACACCTGGGAAGGATGATCGCTACCAAACTATTTCTAATTTGTCTTGTGTTGATAATTGTAAACATGATTGTAAACTATTATTTGGAAAAAAAAATAGTCCCGCTGGGTTTCTTGCTGGTTCTTCCCAGGACAGAGGTTTTATTTGCGAACCAGTGGTAAATGAAAAAATTGGCTTTCAATAAGTATTGTTTATAATCTATATTGAATAAAAAACTTCCTGTTTCTGTCTTCCTAATAACGATTAAAAATACCAAGTGACAACTATGCCTAATATCTCCCCTGTGAAGCATTCTATGGCAGAGGCCTATGTTCAGCAGTGGACTTTAATATCGGTTAAGGATGACAAACTAGCACACAGTCTACCTGGTGGTAATTGAATGCTGTGGCCCATAGACATCTACATCTATCCTCGATTAAGAATAATAATGCAGATGCGTGGGGGGGTGACCCTGAGGACTAAGATGGAATGTCTCGTTTCCAGTAAAAAGGGTCTCCGATTTATATACTCACCATATTGTACACAGAAGCATTAATTGATACAGAAGAAAATCCCTTGACACAGTTGTAAATAAAAGCCTATGGATGATTTCTATTACGATTATAATAATAATAATATAATAATAATAATAATATAAGGCGAAGGGAATTGACGACCCCATCGCCCGCTGACGTAACAGTTAAGTGACAAAACTGCTACGTCAACGCAGTCAGTCAGCGCCTTGCGAGAGGTGTGAGCGCCGTGCCTCGGCAGAATTTAGGGTGCAGAGGCCCGTTTGTGCTTATGGCTACACACGAAACGGTGCCGGGCCTGGGCGTCTCCCGTTAATGGACGCCCAAATAATGGATGATGGATAAGAAGATAGTGCGCATAAGGGGTCGCCGGGGCGCGTCTGGAGCTGGCGCTGGACGCGGCAGCATGCGGGCCGCCAGCCGAGCGCGAGGAGCTGCACGGTCACCTAGCAGCTCTCAGCATCCATCATCCCCACCAGAAGGCTTGGTATCGGCTGGGTCCTCTCGGACTCAGCACACGGCACCCGCCGCTGGTGGAGCACGTCGCATGCATTGGTCACAAGCAATAAATGCAAACGCATTGCGGGCGTACTTTAGGGCAAAAGGGGAAGAAACTGGATGTTTGGCATATCGGGCTAGGATGCATCGTCTATTTGCTGAGCTGGAGCCATCTTTAACCGTCACAGAGCAAAACCTGGCAGACCGAGTTCGGTATATCTTGCGCTCAAATATATTTGATGTCGCCGAACTCGAACGGCTACGACGTGAGGCTGTTCCCTCGTCGGATGAGAATGCTACGGCTGAGGATGCGGCGCCACAAATGGTAGAGCAACCCGCAAACGTGGATGCCGCCGTGAATACCCCAGTTGTGGTTGATTCAAACGATGATGGAACAGTCGCCCAGGAACTGAATTAGAGCATATGAGGAGTACATTGGAAGAGGCGATTGTGGAAACGCGCAGTACGCCTCTCGAAAATCGACCGCGACTTCCCCGCATAGCCCTAAGCAAGCGGAATCGGGCTGTCGTGAGGGCTCTGAACCCAATGCTGGTGACCTATTTGGAAGCCAGCCGGGACCTTTGCGAGACGGACTCAATTCTTTTTGGCGCCGCGCTGGCAGTCTGCCGTATCATAGGCGCCAAGGTTTCCACGGCTGGACGCGCTACTGGCCATAGTAGAGCTATCCCAGCATGGAGAAGAAGAATTGAGGAACGTATCGCAAAGGCTAGACCTCATCGGCAGACTGATATGCTTCAGATCAGGCAACAACTAGCCAAGAATTGTGCGCACCGTCAGGATGGCGTTTGCTGGGACAAATGTCAGTTTGTCCCAGCCGGATATAACGCAAAAACTGACGGAGCGCATAGATGATCTGAAGCAGAGAATCGCTGCTTGGGGAAAGCGGATTCGGCGATATACCGAGAGTTCGACACGGTTCAACCAGAATCGTCTCTTCCAGAGTGATCAGAAGAGGCTCTATGAATCATTGGAGCGACCAATGGTAAGTGGAACGGGTTCAGCACCGAATCAGGCCGACACTGTAGCATTCTGGCGCGGCCTGTGGTCAGAGCCCGTAAACCATAGCGAGGGCCCTTGGACGGAAGTTGTGGCGAGTCAGTGTGTTGATATTACGCCCATGGACCCCGTCATCATAACGCTGGATGACGTAGCTGAGGCGGTCCGTAGGGCCCCGAACTGGAAAAGTCCGGGGCTTGACGGGCTGCATCACTACTGGCTGAAGGGGTTCATGGTGTGTCACTCTGTGCTCGCCCGACAGTTTCAAGAGGCTCTCAACCAGAAGTCGCTCCCAAGCCTCTTCACAACTGGGATCACTCATTTGGTTCCTAAAGACCAGGGTACCACAGACCCGAGCAAATACCGCCACATCACGTGTCCACCGACCATATACAAGACACTAACATCCATTTTGAGCGCGAGAATCACTTGTCACCTGGACTCAAATCAGGTGATGTCGCGCGCTCAAAATGGATGTCGGGGCGGTGGTCGTGGAACCAAGGAACCACTTCTCATTGACGCGGTCATTGGCAAAGTGGTGAAACGCAACCGTCGGAACCTCTCCGCCGCCTGGATAGACTACAGAAAGGCATTCGACTCGGTGCCCCATACATGGCTAAAGAGAGTCCTCGAGCTGTACAAGATAGACTGTACATTTAGAGACTTCCTCGAGCAGTGTATGGGGCAGTGGAGTACGATCCTTTGTCATCTGGGTGAGCGGATGATGGCTGCGGAGAACCACATAAGGATAAGAAGGGGTATCTTCCAGGGCAATTGTCTGAGTCCAATCTGGTTCTGCCTCTCTCTGAACCCTCTCAGTACCTTACTGGAGGGCTCCGGGAGGGGATTTCAGCTACGGAAAGGAGGGACAAAAGTGACCCACCTTTTCTATATGGATGACCTCAAGTTATTCGCCTCCAGTCGCTCCCATCTTATGGAATTGCTAAACATCACTTGTGAATTTAGCAATTCCATTGGAATGGAGCTTGGGACAGGATAAGTGTGCGGTCCTCCATGTTGATAGGGGAAGGGTTGCTAACTCTGAAGGCGTAGACTTATCTATGCCCGTCAACTTAAGGACCCTTTCCGAGGCTGAAACATACCGATACCTGGGTATGTCACAAAACATCGGTATCGATGAGACTGGTATGAAACAGTCAGTTTGCGACGTGTTTTATGCACGGTTGACCAAAGTGCTTAACAGCCTTTTGTCCGGTGTGAATAAGGCACACCATATAACGGCTGGGTCATGCCTGTCCTCATGTATACCTTTGGCATACTCAGGTGGACTCAGACTGAACTTAACGCCCTGGATAGAAAAGTCCGCACTAACATGACGTCCCATAGGATGCATCATCCGAGATCGTCGGTAATGAGGTTGTACTTGCCGCGGAAGCATGGTGGTCGTGGCTTCTTGAGCGCGCTCACCATGCATAATCGCGAAGTGTGCAGCCTCCGTGATTACTTCCTGGCGAGATCGGATGATCCATTCTATAAGGACGTCATTTCTTGTGATAAAGGACTTACCCCTCTATCCTTAGCCAACGAGCAATGGCAAGACCCGGCAGTGCAGAGCATTTCCGACCGGGAGACCGTATGGAAGGAGAAGGAGCTCCACGGGAGGTTCTACAAGGCTCTACATGAGCCTTTCGTAGACACAGTAGCCTCCCTCCACTGGCTACGCTTTGGTGATCTCTTCGGGGAATCCGAGGGTTTTGTCTGTGCAATACAGGATCAGGTTATTAAGACCAACAACTATCGGAGATATATCCTAAAGGATGGCACCATCGACATCTGTCGAGCTTGTCGCCATCCCGGTGAGTCACTTAGGCATGTTATCTCCGGTTGTTCGGTGCTTTCTAACTCTGAGTACTTGCACAGGCATAACCTAGTAGCCAGAATTCTACACCAGGAGCTCGCTCTGAAATACGGTCTCGTGGATTGGAAATTGCCGTATTACAAGTACTTGCCGGAAGCCGTGCTCGAAAATGATCGCGCCAGGCTCTATTGGGACCGGGCCATCATCACAGACAGGACTATTACGAGAACCTCGTGAAAGCCGAAACAGACAAGCAAACAAAATATCTGGACCAGGCTCACGAGGTGACCGACATGTGAGTGGTCTGCCGACCGAAATTATTCCTGTAGTCGTCTCTGCAAACGGGCTAATCCCAGTCAGCCTCTCGGGTCATCTGAGGTGGCTGGGACTACGTGGCGGACCGCTCCAGGTTCAAATGCAGAAGGCGGTGCTCCTCGATACCGCCCGCATCGTCCGCCGGTTTCTTTCCCTATCCCCCTAACCCTCGGCCGTTTGGTCTCCCCTGCCGAGGGCCTCCATCTGGTTGGGCTTTTATTTATTTATGTACTTTTATATTTATTTTATGTTATTGATATTTATGTATATTTATCTTTTCATTTTCATTTATAATTATATATTTATAGAACCCAACCAGATGAGAAAACTATACAGATACCCCACAATAATAATAATAATAATCACCATGCATAATCGTGAAGTGTGCAGCCTCCGTCATTATTTCCTGGCGAGATCGGGTGATCTATTCTATAATGACGTCATTTCTAGTGATAAAGGACTTACCCCTCTATCCTTAGCCAACGAGCAATGGCAAGACCCGGCAGTACAGAGCATTTCCGACCGGGAGACCGTATGGAAGGAGAAAGAGCTCCATGGGAGGTACTACAGGGCTCTACATGAGCCTCACGTAGATACAGCCGCCTCCCTCAACTGGCTACGTTTCGGTGACCTCTTCGGGGAAACCGAGGGTTTTGTCTGTGCAATACAGGATCAGGTTATTAAGACCAACAACTATCGGAGATACATCCTAAAGGATGGCACTGTCGACGTCTGTCGAGCTTGTCACCATCCCGGGGAGTCACTTAAACATGTCATCGCCGGTTGTTCGGCGCTTTCTACCTCTGAGTACTTGCACAGGCACAATCTAGTAGCCAGAATTCTACACAGGAGCTCGCTCTGAAATACGGTCTCGTGGACCGAAAATTGCCGTATTACAAGTACTTGCCGGAAGCCGTGCTCGAAAATGATCGCGCCAGGCTCTACTGGGACCGGGCCATCATCACAGACAGGACTATTCTTGCAAATAAGCCTGATATTGTGCTGATGGACCGGGCACAGTCAAGGATATTTTTGGTCGATATTACCATTCCGTATGACGAGAACCTCGTGAAAGCCGAAACAGATAAACAAACAAAATATCTGGACCTGGCTCACGAGGTGACCGACATGTGGGGTGGTGTGTCGACCGAAATTATTCCTGTAGTCGTCTCTGCGAATGGGCTAATCTCAGTCAGCCTCTCGGGTCATCTGAGGCGACTGGGACTCCGTGACGGACCGCTCCGGGCTCAAATGCAGAAGGCGGTGCTCCTCGATACCGCCCGCATCGTCCGCCGGTTTCTTTCCCTTTCCCCCTAACCCTCGGCCGTCTGGTCTCCCCTGCCGAGGGCTCCCATCTGGTTGGATCTTATTTATTTATGTAGTTTTTATATTTATTTTATTTTATTGATATTTATGTATATTTATCTTTTCATTTTAATTTATAATTATATATTTATAGAACCCAACCAGGTGAGGAAATTATATAGATACCCCAATAATAATATTCCACAACTATCACACAACGCCATCTAGTCCCAAGCTGAGCAGAGCTAGTGTTATGGGTACTAGACAACTGATAAACATACTTATATATTTCTAAATACATAAATATTATAGATAAATTACTCCCAGACACAGAACAAATGATCGTGCTCATCACACAAACATTTATCCTGGGTGAGAATCGAACCCACGACCTCCGGCTTAGCAGTCAGGGTCACTAACCACTAGACCAACAGGACTGTCAAATTACGATGCTAAACACCAGAGAATTTAAATCTCGATTAAGAATCAAAATGCAGATGCGTTGGCACCCGTAAGGACTAAGACGGAATGCCTCGTTTCCAGTAAAAAGGTTCTCTACACTCACTATAGGAAACACAGCAGTGTTAAGCTGCTATTTTACGCTGGTATTCCGTAAGAATGTGGTTCTTCCCGGGTCGAGCCGACCCATTCGTGCTACTAAATCTAAAATATATCCCACTTATGAAAACAATATTCAACAATTGGGAAATATTCAAAGGAAGTTCATTCATAGACACACGTTTCTAGAGTGCATTAAACTATTAGGGGTAATGAGGAAAGACTCGATTATTTCTCTCTAAAATGATTAAGCTGCGACTACGCGCGGCTACCGCGCGTTCATTGTTCGCCCGCGGCACAACTGTGTTTTGGCTCGCGAGCCAATTGTAGCGCACAGTTTAACTACAGCGAGGCAGCCGCGCGCGCAGCCGATCCGCCAACGAACGTTTATTTTGTACGCGGCAACCATGGACGGTGTACCTCGACGAAGTGCAACAGGCGAGCCCATTTCTGCACTGATTTCATTCCAAGCATGTTTTTCTTAATGATTTTTGTTATAGTCACTACAATTACTGTTCCATAGAAATTGTTTAGTACCATAATAATCTAATTAAATTACGATACGTAAACGACCGTCCCAACTGCGGGAGCATAATTCGCTGAGATTCTTCGATGATTCGAATTGCCGCGCGCGGCAACACAGTATCCATAGTGCGCGACTACCGCGCGAGCCAATGTTCGATGGTTTGCGGCGCGAAGTCGATACGCACCTTTACATCAGCAGAAAAATCATTCTTTACAAGCTTCTTTTGGATGATTGATTGATTCTTAATAGTGCCATTGACTGCCCTGAATTACTTTCTCTAGTTGAAATAAGTATCCCCAGACCATCGACTCGGCTGCTCACGTATGCCCCTTT